GTATTTTTTCCCAGAAGGCACCTCTTTGAGGGTAAAACCTGCTGGGAAAAGTTTGTTGGCCTCTTCATCTGACAGAGAAGGGATGACCATGACTTCTTGTCCAGGCTTAAACAAAAGGGGGGAAAAAAGAAGAAGAAAAATAAATACAAATAAATGATTTTACGTCACTATTTTTTTCCCCACACCCATAATCTTGACCACATACGAAAAAAATTTAATAATTCAAATAAAATAAAAAATGAACTAACTTAGGGACATATAGTGAGGAATGAAAAGCTGTATCTTACCTGCCAGTCTACAGGTGTGGCCACCTTCTTTGTTGCCGTCAACTGCAGAGAGTCTATGACACGGAGAATCTCATCAAAATTGCGCCCTGTAGTGGCTGGATAGAGAATGGACAGCTTCAGCCTCTTGTCAGGGCCAACGACGTACACCTGAAATATAATAAATATGGTAAGTGCAGACAGAAATAAGCACTTTTAGTTTCATAATTGGTGGTCTAATGAAATGACACCACACTAATCTTATTCAGATATAGATCTGTACTTATTTTGGCAGGTTCCTTAGGGTTTTCTAGTATTGACTACTTTTGTTGTTACGCTGCTAAAGCAAATGTTGTAGCAAAGACTAGATCAGATCAGCGGGTACATGGGGCGATGGAAGCGTTACATGCAGCAGAACAGCAACAGAAATTTAGTCAGGCAGAACACGGTTTCACAATCCCCTATTCAAGCATAAAGCTCTGATTCTAAAGCAGTGGTTCTCAACCTATTTAACTCCAAAGTGCATTTTGTCAGAGAATTTATTCAAAGGCCCTTTAATCTAAGCTGATATGTACCTCTGGTGCTTCTGTTGTCATAAAACAAGTTCAAAAATATTATTAAAAATATGGTTTAAATTTTATACATCTTTATTTTTTAGCATTTTAATTAAGTATGTGTTAACTTAATTTTCACAGGTTGAATTTTGAGTTTTTAGGCTTTCAAATGATATCTACTTTAAGATTATAACTAAAATATGTGATATGGGGGGGGGGCATAAAAAAAAAAACACCAAGTGTCCTACCGACTTATTGGGGCCCCTGACTGAGAACCAGTTTTATTTCAGTAACACTGAGATACTATTACAGCTTTAAACTTTTATTAATGTTTTTAATTCATTTTATTTTTAGATTTTGCGTTTTTGTCATTTATATTAGTTTTAAAATGTCTATATACTTCACTCATTCTGATTTCAGTTTTAGTTTGTCATTTTAGTACATAAAATAAAAATTAAAAGTGAAATAAAACGAGTTTTAGATTTTAATTCAGTTATCACTTATTTCAAGTAACAAAAAAAATTTTTTTTTCATGGATTTAGGTTTTAACTATAATAACCCTGTTAAGAAACTCACACAGCGGGCTGTGAGGGGCATCCCGTCTTTATCCCTCTCATCAGGGTCCAGCATCCCCAGTAAGACCGATAACTCCCTCTTGCCATCTGCTATGATGGGGAACGGCACGGGACAGCACGTTTTGTCTTGGTTAAATGACATAATGTCCTAGAGAGAGCAAAAGTTACATAAATATGAAGTCGTATTCACTGTTTTTGCATTTTTCAGTCAGTCATCCTTCCATGTGAAGCCTTTACAATTAAGAGCATTACAGTATATGTACACATCTGGATATTTGTATAGGAGTAAAGAGTGTTGTGGTTTACCAGTGACTAACATCACACAAAACACACTCTTGTGGGAACCGGGTGTCTGCAACATTCACATGAATTTGAAAACAAGAGTTCAGCCAAAGGCACATGTGGGTGTGAAAGTACGTCTTTATATCCAGTAAAAGAGTTAGCATTAAAATCAACGGACCATAAAAAAAAACAGCAGCAGCAAAAGCGGAGTCTCTCAACTTTTTACAAACTAGTTTTTAATGCATTTTCTAGTGTTATTATGAAATGTTTGGCCAGGTAGCCAGATGTCTTGTAACATGTAATCAGCCCTTTTGTGATTGAATTTGTTCAGGGAGAGTTTCAGAGAGAGTCAGCAGCAGAAAAAACCTTCTCGGGATTACAGTAAGGTGGTTTTGTCTGAACCAATCATAGAAGTCCTCTGTGTGCATTTCTAAGGGCTACAGGCCAATTATTAGACACTCAAGCTGTAAGAGTCCCAAAACAATGCAGCATCATAGAATGGAGTTAAGAAAGGGAGGTCCATGTGACCTCTTAAGTGTCTGTTTATGAGCATCACACAATTTTCAACAGTGTACACTACTGATCATAAGTTTGTGGTCATTAATATTTTTAATGTTCTTGAAAGAAGTCTCATGCTTACCTAGTCACTGCATTTATTTGATTTCATAAATACAATAAAAACACTAATATTGAAATATTACAATCTAAATCAGTGGTTCCCAACCCTGGTCCTGGAGGCATCCCAACCCTGGTCCTGGAGGCACCCCAACACTGCACGTTTTGCATGTCTCCTTAATCAAACACACCTGATTCAGGTCATCAGCTCATTAGTAGAGACTCCAAGACCTGAAATTGGTGTGTCAGACAAAGGAGACATGCAAAATGAGCAGTGTTGGGGTGCCTCCAGGACCAGGGTTGGGAACCACTGATCTAAATAACCACTTTCTACTTTAATGTAACTTTCAAATGCCAACTATTCATGCGATTGCAAAGCTGAATTTTAAGCAGCCATTTAAAAAACAATTGTGTTACTTCATATTTTTTGAAAAGGGTGATATTTTATTCAGGATTCTTTAAAGAACAGAAAGTTCAAAAGAGCAGAATTTAATTTTTTGTTTTTATTTTTTGTAACATTCAAAAATTTATTTAGTCACTTTTGATAAATGTAATGCATCCTTGGGGAATAAAAGTATTCATTTTCTTTATAAAAAAAAAAAAAATCCAAATCCCAAACTTTTGAACAAATGTATAAACTAATAGTTATAAATAATTAGTATAATGACGCAATACAAATTGTATTTCAGGATGCAATTTCTGCAACTTTGATAACATCCTCTTAAAAAAATGTGTAT